TAAATACCAGAAACCTCATTTCCCACTCAAACAATTTATTAACAAATGGAAACAATAATAAAATAGATACGTTTCTAGGCATGTGAAGAGAAATCATCTGTTATGTTTAAGGTTTGAAGTGATTTTGGCTATGCAAAATTCACAGCCAAAATCACTTCAAACCTTAAACATAACAGATGATTTTCTTCACATGCCTAGAAGCATACCTTTATCATTCCATTCACTCCATATTTCTCCTCAAGATAAGAGTTAAAATTAATCTCTCAGGAAATAGGTTAGTCCTGTGAAATTTAGATTATTGATTATTGATTGATTAATGATTAAGAGTTGGGGTTAATTACTAGAACTACTATCTATGGATCAGATTTAGATTTAATTGAATAGGTCTCAATAGTAGAGTTTGTAAGAGTTTAGGTTACCTAATTTTAAGAGCTACCATCTGGTCCTGTCTCATGAAGGATATAAGAAAGATAAGTGGAAGATGAGTTAACCTGGTCAGATGATGTTTTGTCTAGCACTGGGTCTCTCTGTTGTTAAATGGTATCTGGCACAGGACTTTCCAGAAGATGTTCAACTCTGTGCTATCCCTGTTGCTAGAAGTTCTGGAGACGCTCTCTTGCAGGTCAGCATGATTAAACGAAATGTATAGCCCACCTTTCAACCTTTCTTATAGACCAGTCACAGTCTTAGTTTAGTTTGCATCACTGACCTTATGTTACCAACTATATAAAAAACTGCTCTGTCAGATGTGTATTTGGCTACTGAAGAACCTCCTTTCATTGGCAGTCGCTAGCCTTACTAGTAAATTGATCATGCTTGGAGTCTTGTGCCTCAGTTTCTCTTTATTGCAACTTTTTTAGTACAACAGTCCTTTGTCTTCTCTTGAGGTAGTATGGTATCGTGGAAGGAGTGCAGAATCTAGAGTCAGAAGACTTAGGTTCAAATTCCACCTCTGAAGAGTTACTACTTGTATAGCCTTGAGTAAGTAACTGAATCTCTCTGGGCCTCAGTAATAAAATAAGGAAGGTTGGACTAGATGGTGTCTGAGGCCCCTTGCAGTCCTAGGTTTATGATTTTATGATTCCATCTCATGTAGAGTACAGTCAGGGCTAGCCGTACCAGTCCCCCCCCCCCACTGCTAGCTTTTCTCCAGGGTTCACAGGCAATCTAGTGGGTATGCTAATATTCTCAGGAATTACTAAATTACAGAAACTCTCTAATTGGTGTGGCCTCTTCACCCCCAGAGTAACCTAGGGAAATCTCTTCTCTCATGTGATAGCTTCTTCCTTTTCAAAATCATCATACTGTGAAATTAAAGGATCTGATGTTGTTAAGGACTATGTAATTTATTAAGAGTTATCAAAAAAATCCAGAAAGTGATTATAGTTAAGGGGAGAGGACAAGACCAGGCTTTATAACTCCTACTACAGGACACTGCTGTCCATGAACTGAATTTCAAAAAGTAAACCACAGCAGAAAAAAGCCCTACCCAAAATAAAAATTAAAAAGAATGTAATAACTGAAATTAGATACAATAGGAAGCTCAAATTTGGTACTCCAGAAGCTCTACCTCCATGAAGAAGAAAAGTATTCTCTTCTGTAAATCTGCAGGCTACAAAATAAATCCACAAAAATGAACAGTAGCTGTATTTAGTAATAGCAATATACAGGAAACAATAATAGAAAGGATGTCATTCAAAATAACCACAAAATGCTTAAAGTTTTCAGGAGTCAATATACCAAAACATAATAAATACATTTATTGCTATAATTATAAAACCCTCTGTAAAGAAATAAAGAACAAGTAAATATTTGGAAGACTCTTTAGTGCTCATGTCTGGGGCATGCCAATATAATAAAAATGGTAACACTATCTAAATTAATGTACAGCTTTCTTCAGAAAATCCTTATGAAGTTAACTGTGGATTACAGTGTTTATATCCATGATGGGTAAGTCTCTCCACTGCTATACTAGGGTGGTTTCCTACAGAGCATAGAGGCAAGTCAGCTGGACAGGTGGCTCAGTAGGGCTTGCTCATGAAGGACATGGTGTCTCTCTTGGCTATGCTCCATCAGAAAAGTTACTTGGCTACACGGCTGGCTTTTCGCAGAACCCATTATCTGTGCTAGACACATCTATCCTGACAGGTACTACCTTGGCTCACTCTTAGACAGGCAGCTGCAATGCCATTGCCTCCCCTCAGAATCAGCTATATGTTGCTCTGCTTTTTTTTTTTTAGCTAAATTGTTACTGTACTCTTTCAGAAAAAGCAAAATCTTTAGCCTACATTGACACAAACCTCTCTAGTTCTACTCCCTCAGAGTAAGAAATGTTAGCCTTTAGTTATTTAACCAAACTTGCTGGTTCAGAGTTGGAGTCCTGCAGTAAAGGATCTCATCCTAACTTATGGTGACCACCCCAGTACATTTACCAGCTTCCTGTTGGTTCTTATGCAAAATGAGTGGCTAGGGGAAAAGGTACTAAGACATTCTATATCCTTACATGAGGTAATTGCCTCTGCTGGCTTTTTCGTATACAATTAAGTTGCTCAAAACCTCAGAATCCCTTTAGAGTATGGAATAAACATTAAAAACATTTTGATATCTTTTGTTTTTCTTTACCTAAATTTTTCCCTGTATTTTTTCCCCTTCCCTTTCCCCTTTCCGAATCAAATAAACAAAGACTTTTTTAAAGAAAAAAGCAAAGTGAAAAGATCATCAAAATAAATCTATATATCAAAAATATGAAAATATATGCAATGTTTCATGTCTGTGGACCTCCTACTTCAGCAAAAGATTGGGGGGAGTTGTATTTCCTGTATGTCTTCTTGGGACCATGTTTTTCTTTGTAATTTTGCAACATTTCATCTTATACTAGTTCTGGTTATTTCCATCTGCATCATTGTAGTCATCTTATATGTTGTTGTCTTGGCTGTTTAGTTTACATGGGTTCATATAAATCTTCCCCTGTTTCTCTGTATTTATCATAGTCATCATTTCTTACATCATAGAAATGTTCCATCATATTCACATAACACAATTTGTTCTCTTCTCCAATCAATAAGGTGCCTATTTTGTTTCCAGTTTTTTGCCACCAGTTTTTTGCTGTTATATTTTGGTGTATGTGTGGGGTGGAGAAGGTTAAAAAAATCAATGAATGGAATAAACATTTACACCTGAGTTCCTGACCCTTACATTTCATTGTCTCTCTTTATCACTTATGACCTTCAGCTTTACAAGTCTAAACATTTCACACCCCTATAGACCTAAATCCTAAAGGGGAATGGGATGTTTCCAAAGGTAACAGCTTCCCTCTCACTAGAAGTCTTCAAACAAACTTTGGATGACCACTTGTCAAGTATGAGGGTAAGTGAATTTTTTTTTAAGGGCAATATTAGACGAAGTGGCTCTTGAGATTCTAACTGTGAGATTCTTTGATCTAAAACTTGTGTGGGAAAAATCCAGCGTATTTCCTTTGCTCCTGATAAAAGTTATGAAGGGTTAAATTTTGTGAGTGACTATAATAGAATGCTGAAATAACAGAAAATAATTCGTGCTGACCCATCAGATTGCAAAACACAAAGAAGAGGCAATGGAGTTTCTGATAAACTGCAGGACTGTAGTTTATATAGGAGACCTCTGAGAATGTCTTCAGGATAAGAAAAAGGACTATCAATATTATGTCAACTGGGGAAGATGCTTAGTAAAGAGAAGAAAAGAGAGTTGTTTGTACAAGAGTATAAAAATTGGGGCCATTTAGGGGAATTCTGTAGTTTCTCTGGCTAGCTACTTGCATGCGTGTATTCAGCCTACACATATATGCATTCTGGCTACTACTTGTTACAATCAATAAACTCACTAACTGGACATAATTTTTGCCTCCTAATTTTCTTTTAAATTTTCACATTAGTGGTGTTGTAAATAAAAATTAAAACCAATAGGAGGAACCATCAGAAAGAGAAAACAAAACTCAAGAGAAAAAAAATAGCAATTCAACTTTCATAGTTCTTTCTTTGAATGTGGATAGCATTTTCCATCACAAGGCCTCTGGAGATGTCTTAGATCCTTGTACTACTGGGAAGGGTTAAGTTTATCAATATTAGTCATCGCACAACGTTTGCCTCCTAATTTTTACATCCCAACAATTACAAACTTGCGCGGAGTTTCCAATTAATATTAGACATGTTAACTGAAAAGTCACCAGTACTAACAGTGTTAATAATACTCCCGCTCCATTTTTAGACCGCTTTATACTTTTCAAAGCCTTTACTCAAACATTATCACACAACCCCCAGGCATGACTCGCATTTTATTGACGAAACACAGAGATATGACCCGAAAGAATCTCAGGAGAAGAGGAGAGAAAGAAGGGGAGAGAGAAAAGAGTAGGATGCTGAAGTGGTTGCCATGGCTTTAATTAATCAGTAGCCTGGTATCTGCTTCTCCTCCCTTGATCAATAGACTCTCACCCTGCACATGCTCAGTACGGTCATGCAGACAGAAGTAAGAATGCATACAAGGGCTGGGGAGAGAGGCATTAGATGCTTGTACCTACTGAGGGGGTTAAGCTCTCTCTAAACTCAAGGAGACCACAGCGTAGGAGAGACCTCTGAAAGACTGAGTTTGGGAAGCCCAGAGGCCTCTGGGAAACGTAGTCCAGAGATGTTGGCGCAAGCGCACTACTTTTCAGAGCCTGCAGACTTGCTGGCCGCCCCAGTCCCAGCACCGGAATCTAGAGAACTGGAGAGGTGAGTCCGTGTTAGCGGACCCAGGGGTCCAGTGTATTAGGCACCACAGCCCATCCCGTCCCCACCTCCAGTCACGGCGGCCATTCTGGGTTGCAGGAAGACCCAGGGAGGGGCTTGGGTCCTCACTTTTGATGTAAAGTGTGTGTGTGTGGGGGGGTGTTCCCCTGTCACCATGGTAACAGCTTTTTGCCCGTGACGTCTTTCCTTGGGCTGTGTTTGGCTGAGCAGGGATGAGGAGGAGACCGACTGGAGCAGATGGGTTTGGAGGTGGGGGGAAGGGGAGAGAAGCACTGTAAGACCCTGCTGTCATCCCTAATGAGAGGTCGGTCATTAGCGGTGCGTTATCTCCCTATGCCTCACAAAGGTGAGCCAGTTTCTTTGAAAGCTGCTTCTCTCTGAAAAGGAATTATCCACCCTTGACCCAACAGGTAGTCTCCCTCCACCGTGCCCCCATCTCTTTCATTTGTGGCAGATCAACTTTTTAATTTGAAAGTATCTAAGAAATGAAAAACTCTCTACTGCCATAAAATATGAAATCTGCCAATAGAACATAAGCTTCTTGAAGGCAGAGACTTTTTTCATTTTTTTGTCTTCATCCCCATTGCTAAGTACAGCCCCTGATTATTTGGGAGAAAACAAAAAGTTTTTGAGGAAAGGTGATTGGGCTGCTCAGCACTATCTATGTGCCAGGCACTGTGCTAAGCCTGGAGATATAAAGAAAGGCAAAACACAGCCCCTGCTCTCAAGGAGCTCAGAGGACCTGTCAGGGGGAGGCAACAAGCAAACTGTGCACAATGAAGCTGTGTACAGGATAAATAGGAATAATTAACGGAGAGAAGTCACTAGCATTAAAGAAGATCAGGAAAAGGCTTCCTGTATAATAAATAGTAATAGCAAACCGTTTATATGAGCCTTACAACAATCCTGCCAGGTAGGTGCTGTTATTATACCCATTTTGCAGAGGAGGAAGCTGAGGCAAACAGGTTTAGTGACTTATCCAGGGTCACACTGCAAGTAAGTGTCTAAGGCATATTTGAACTCAGGCCCAGTGTTCTCTCCAATGAATCTCAGGATTTTACTGGGACTTGAACCCAGGAGGCAAGGGTGAAAAGGGAGAGCATTCCCAGCATGAGAGAGGGAGTGTCTTGTGAAAGAAACAAAAAGGAGGCCAGTGTCACTGGCTTGAAGACCAAGGTGGGAGAGATAGGGAAGAGGTTTGTAAGGTATAAGAATATTGGAAAGGTGAGGGCTGGGGGGTGGGGCAGGTTATAGGCTTCAAATGCCAAGCAAAAGATTTCATATATGATCCTGGAGGTGATAGAAAACTACTGATAAGTTTATCACAAAGAGAGTGACATGGTCAGATACACTTTCGGAAGATCACTATGGCAGCTGAGTAGGGGATGGACTAGAAAGAGCAAAGAATTATTGCAGGGAGATCAACTAGCAGGCTGTTGCAAAAAAAAAAAAGTGTAAGGTAATGAAGGCCTGTACCAGGTTAGTGACAGTTTCACGTGAGAGAACGGGGCATATATGAGAGATGTTACAAAGATAAAATCAACAGACCTCAGTAACAGATTGGGTTTGGGATTGTGAGCCTGGATAACTGGGTAGATAATGGTGCACTCAGAATCATAAGGAAGTTGGGAAGAGAGGAGGGTTTGGGGAGAAAAATAATGAGGTCAGTTTCGAACATGTTGTGTCTATGGAACATCCAGTTTGATTTAGCCTTTGTGATGAATGTGCTGAATAGTTCCTTTCCCTGAACCCAGAAAAAAACCTAGTTAATTGGACCAATATATTGGGTCCTTTACTAAGATGATGGGAGTGGGAATATAAAGGAAGGGCAGATAAAAATATCCTTCATCAAGAGGACTTAGGAACTGAAATAAGGGTCTTAGGGGGAAAAGGCATATAGGAATAGAGAATGGCATGGAACAAACGCGTGAAAGCAAGTTTTAGATAACATCAAAGTTTTTGCACCTGGGTGACTAGATAAGTTGTAAGAGACAGACACTAGAAAAAGGAAATTATGTTTTGAGTGTATTTAACTTGAGATGCATCCTACCATATTGGAAGTCAGGAATACCAGGCTTCAAGTCACACTTCTGACATGTACTGGCTTTGTCACCCTGGACAAGTGATGATCTCTTGTTGCCTTAGACAACTCCCCAAGACCTGCAGAGTAGGTGACAACCTTCATTGGTAGAAGGAGTTCCCTCACCTGGTAGTTCTCTGTACTAATGAAATCATAGGTTCAGGTCATTTAATCCTTGTGGAATCAGGTTTCTTACCTGTGAGATGCTATCTACTCTTTCCTTTTTCATGCATAGTAGTGAGGACTGGTAGGATCATTACAAATTATAGCTCTAGTGGTTGGGCAGGATTGGATGTCTTAGGTAGTCTGTTTCAAGACCAAATTACTCAGTTTAACAGACTTAGATAGTAAATTATTACTTTACCCACTCATGATAGAGATACCATTAATTTATAATGAGAAGGGAATGGGTACCTAGGGAGCCAGACTGAGCCCTGAGGCCTGTAAAATGGTCTAGAAGCAGAATACTTGTTTACCCATAGAGCAAAATCATGGCAAAATATTGATACTGTGTGTGTCTTGCTTATAAAGCTGCCTTTTGGAGGTTGGAGTTCTGCTAATCTCTCTAGGAAACCTGCAGGAATCCTGACTAGGTTAAGAAAAGTATTATAATAACATTTCCTGATTTAGCTGCTCACTTTTCTGAACATTAATGATCATTTCTTATACCTTAGAAAGACCCTTGGAGATAATCTCTTCCCAACACCTGGACCCCAGCTGGAGTGAGGCTTCTTCTGACCTATTCCATTACAGGATGTCAGCAGAATATAGCAGGACTCTTCCTCTGCAGGAACAAGAGGGACTTTGGATAGTGAAGGTAGAAGATCAGGAGGACCATGTTTGGGAACAAGAATCCTGCTTACAAGGAAATAACCCACCCTGTCAAGAGATCTTCCGCCAACGTTTTAGGCAGTTTGCCTACCACCATACCCCTGGGCCTCGTGAGGCTCTAAGTAGACTCCGGGAACTCTGTCATCAATGGCTGAGGCCAGAAATGCACACAAAGGAACAAATCTTAGAGCTGTTGGTTCTGGAACAGTTCCTGACCATCCTTCCTGAAGAACTCCAGACTTGGGTGCAGGAACGTCGTCCAGAGAGTGGAGAAGAAGCAGTGACTGTGCTCGAGGATTTGGAGAAAGAACTTGATGAACCAGGCCGGCAGGTAAGAGGGAAATTGGTGTGATCTGTTGTGAGAAAGTGAGGACACAAAAGAGTAGATAATGAAACACACTTTACTCTTTTTAGAAGAAAAGTGGGACACTATGGACATGGAGGGTTATATATGCTATCAGATAAATTTGCTTGGTCCATCAGTTTTGCTTACCTGTTTTGTTTGCTGTTGAAGGGGAAGGAGGGGAAGGAGTGATTATTGGAGGATGACTAGTATAAGAAACAAAAGATATAAATAAAACTTTTTTAAAAAAGGAAAAGAAAAATAAGAAAGCAAGACCATGGAATCCTGGACCAGAGCAAGAGAATATGTTCATGGTAATGAGAAGAGAGTTATGCATTTTAATCCTGTACTAGACATAGCTAAGGCAGTTAGGTGGTGCTGTGGATAGAGGGCCTGTCTTGAAGTCAGGAGGACCTGAGTTCAAATCTGGCCTCAGATACTAACTGTGTGACCTCGGGCACATCATTTAACCCTGTTTTTCCTCAACTGTAAAATGAGCTGGAGAAGGAAATCACAAACCACTCGAGTATCTTTGCTAAGAAAAACCCAAATGGGGTCACAAAGAATCAGACATGACTGAAACAACTAAACAACAAAAGATATAACCTAGAGTTATTAATTACTGTGTTGGTTTTCTCTCTAGTTTTTCCTCTATCCTGTCTCCCCACCATGCTTAAGGAAAAAAATACTCTTGTTTCGTTCATCTGTTCTCTGGCCTTTGGGTGAATGTTCCTTGCACTCCATTCAAAGAGATTTTAGTTTCACTTCCCATAATTAATCCAACTTTATTATTTCCAGGTTCAGACCCATGGACATGGGCCAGGAGTGGTCTGGACGGAGATGATGCCTCCAAGAATATCAAAGGAATCACTGAATATGCAACCCATTGAAACCCAGTTCAAATGTGAATCTAAGGAGTCTTATCCCCTACAAAATGGTAAGGAGTAGCATTCTATCTGGGAGGAACGGAGAAGGGAGAAAAATGTTATTAGAAGCATTAGAAGTTCCCTCTTTTTGTCCAGGAGCTCTTTTTACTTCTCTCTTCTGTTATTGTCTCAAATTCTCTACCTGACAGCATCCTTCCTAATACTTAGAAAGATGTGGTACTTTTTTGCTAGCAGCTCTCAGACACAAGCCAAACACGGGTGCTTGAGACCTAAGTCTGCAGTGGAAGCAGCGGAATGAAATGTAATGTACTTTTAAAAACTTGTGTTTTCAGTGATTCCCCATTTTCTAACCAAGATTTATTGATATCTACTCTGTTCATAACCCCATGCATCTCTTCTTTCACCCCGTTTGCTTCTGCCTGTTTGCCTTCTGTCTCTTCTTTTTTTTCCCTCTTTAGGAGTGATGGAGAATTAGACTAGAAAGGTAAAGTTCATTTAGGAAAGATGAGATAAAATAGGGGGTGTTGTTGCATTGTATATCAGAAATAAATATGTAATGTCAGAGGCTCAGGAATCAGAAAGAGGCCAACAACTTATTTGGGTTAAAAGGAAAGGGGATAAAAAACAAGGATGATAAAATGATAAGTATCTATTATCCATTGGTCCTTCAAATCAGGTGAAAAAGTTGGGTAAAAACTGCCTTTGGTAATTAGCTTGAGACTAGGATCTGGTAGTAATGGAAGACTTTCACTACTGGGAAAAGTATGATCCAGTGGATTGCTTCTCAGGCAAATTTGCAAGTGGATTTTGGAATTGTGTTGGGAACACTGTGTTAGTGCAGAATAATCACCTACAGAAGAGATTGATTTAATTCTTGCCATTAGGGAGGATTAATTGAGGAGCTAAAGGTAGGTGGGATACTTGAAGGGAAATCCTTGTTAAATGGTTAGATACAAGGTCCTACCAAATTCTAAGAGAAGTAAGATAAAAATCATGAACTTTAAAAAAGCAGATTGTACTAAGGACATTAATAGATAGTAAAAATAAAATCCAAAAGAATCTAAGAAGTAATGGTTGCTTAAAAAGATATTCCCGAAGGATTAGGCAAACTTGACTCCCATGTAAGGCTAAGAAGGTAAATATTCAAGTAGTTTCCACTGAATATATTCATCAAAAGAGATCTTTCCCTGAAGAGAGGAAAGATATAGGGAAGGAAGCTTAATGATAGTAAGGTAGATGATAACAGGGTAGAAAGACAGCAGAATATAGTGGAAAGAACACCATGCTCAAATCCTCCCTCTGACACTGGCTTTGACCACCTCACTTCATCTTTCTGAGCTAGAATGTCATGATATGTAGCATGTAGATAATAATACTTGTAATAAACCTCATAGGGTTATTGGGAGGATCAAATGAAATTATATATATAAAATGCTCTGCAAACCTTCAAATACTATAGAAATGTCAGTGATAATTATTATTAGAGGCTTTTCAGATGTGAATAGTTCACTGAAATGTCGCAGATACAATAAAGGAAGAAAACTCAAACTAAAATAATGCCATTTTTGGCATGGAATACTGCCAATTCACTACCAATAGCCTCTTGCTTTTCCAGTTTTAGGGATGGGTTTTTCTGGTTGTTTTGTATTTTCGTCCTTGGTCTTCTATGGGACTAACAATTTATATTTTCAGTAAACCTGGGGTTAGATGTGCAGTACTTTCTGGCCTATATGTGAATTGAACCTTGCCTTGCCATCATTAGTACTACAATGTTTGAATCAGCTGAGCTGACAAACTAATAGTAGTACAAAAATAGGGAGAGAAATAAAGAGTACCCTGAAAACCTGGATATATTTATATCAACAGGGATTGCTGACCATGAACTTTAGGATATTTGACAAGTTCTGCCGGATTTCTAACCATTACTTTTTGAGATGTCATGGAGGACAAGAGGATAATTCTGGAAATTCCTGAATTTTAACAATGAGACATGCAAAGGTATTAAGAGCAAATCATACATAAATTTGCAGCTACACGGATCGTAAGACACTACACATTTATTCAATGCTTACTGATAGAGAACACCACATTAGGCCCTGGGGGGAGGGCTTTTAAGAATAGTAGGGGGAGGGGCAACTAGGTGGCACTGTGGATAGAGCATCAGCCCTGAAGTCAGGAGGACCTGAGTTCAAATCCAGCCTCAGACCAAACACTTGATACTTACTAGCTGTGTGACCCTGGGCAAGTCACTTAACCCCAATTGCCTTAAAAAAACCCAACAACAACAGTAGGGGGATAAAATACCAATACAACCAGCTCCAACGTCCAGTATTACCTCCTAAGTGACCTCTGGTTGGGGTCTTGGGAATAGGGGAAGAGGAGAAGTCATTAATAACCAGGGAAATCTAGGAAGGTTTCATAGATGAGATGACCTGGTTTTGGGAAGAGCAAATTATGCTGTATCAATTTAATTCACTGTTGTGATGGAGCTTGTAGACAAGGGAGAATTGATATCTTGAATATTGTTTTGATAGAATTGCTAGGTATGTAAACAAATAGCTGGAAGACCCTGCACAACATTCCTGTGTGCCTGTACATTTAGGTTCTATAATGTTGAGGAATCAAAGCATGTCTCCAGATGATAACAAAGATGATAATAAAAACTGTTCATACTTCAGAAAACTGGAGTGAATTTTAAAATTATTTTGACCAAAAAAAAAGCAATGAAATTCAATAAGGATAAGGTTCCATATTTACAGAGAAAAATATCCGATAAAACACATACATGATGGGAAAATGACTAGGCACAAGCACAGAAGAAAAGCCCTATAGGGTGGGAATGGGGAGGGTAGGTCATGGTAGACTACAACCTTAGTGAGTTAGCAGTGTAGGGGCAGCTTGGTGGCGCAGTGGATAGAGCACTGGCCCTGAAGTCAGGAGGACCTGAGTTCAAATCTGACCTCAGACCAAACACTTGACACTTACTAGCTGTGTGACCCTGGGCAAGTCACTTAACCCTAATTGCCTTAAGAAAAAAAAGTTAGCAATGTAGCACCACTGAGGGGAAAAGTCAGCCTGATGCTGAAATATATTAAAAGCAGGAAGACATTTACAATTTGGTAATTAATTCTCCACTTGGCTCAGTCAGCCCCTTAATAAGGAGCACTGAATCCATGTACTTCACAAAGAAACTAGAGTAAGCTCAGAAAAGAGTGACTGAAATTATTATGGGGATAGAAGATAAATCTGTGAGGAAAGTCCAGAGGAATTGATTTAGAATACAGTAAGGCATGACAGTATAGTAAAGTATATGAAGAATTTTTATGAGGAAAATGTTAATCTACTTTCCCCTCTTTGAGGATGCCAGAGGTTTAATTTGTAGGAGAATTTTCAGTTGGACCAAAATATCCTTCTTATTGTTTAGAGGGAGCTGTTTGTGGCATCTCAATCTCTGGATAACTTGACAAATAAATTTTTTAAAAAATTCTTCAGAATGATTTCAGTATTCATTTACTTCAAGGCAAAAGGCTGAATCAAATGATCTCTTGAGATCCTTTTTAGCTCAAGGATTCTGTGATTTTCTGTCACCACCTTCTCTCACCTTGCCTGAGTGCATGTTCTATTTGTCTATGTCCATAGTTTATTACCTACCCTCCTTCACCATTCTAGTCCTATGTTCCTTTTGCCATCAAAATGGCAGCCACCAAATGTGTTGCAGAGGACCTTAAGACTTCTTACATGTAAGGGCATGTAACGGCTTTTCTTACTGCCTGCTTGAGCTGTACAACAGAGAAGAGTCAGAGGAGAACAGTCCTCTGACTAACAATGGTGGCCAACTTTGATGTTTGGAAGGGGGAGCTCTTTTCAATGACTTCCAGGTCTGCAGAGTTTGCTTTGCAGGTTGTATGTCTTCCTACAGCTCCTCCAGGATTCATTTTTGGCATCTTTGCAAACTTGCTGGATGTGAGTTCTCTTATTATTAACGATTGGGAGCATTCTTCCATATGGTTCTTAACAGTTCACAATTCTTTTGAGAACTGTTTGTTCATACCCTTTGACCATTTATCTTTTGGGGAATGGTATTTGTTGATATATGTGTGTGTGTATATGTATAATGTATGTGTATATATATGTATGTGTGTGTGTGTGTGTGTGTGTATGTATGGTTTATATATCTTGAATACCAGACATTTATCAGAGAAATTTGATAAAAAGCTTTTTTTCCCCTCTCATTCACTGCCTCCCTTCTTATCCTAGTGGCATTAATTTTGTTTGTATGGAAACTTTTCAGTTTCATGTAATCAATTTATCTATTTTATTTTCCATAGTTGCTTCTATTCCTTGTTTGGTTAAGAATATATCATAAGAATATATGTATAGCCAAGAAAACTATATATTTTTTATGGTTATGATCTCTGATATTAATGTTGCATATCCATTCAGAATCCACTGTGGAAGAAGTTGAAAGGTGTTCTAATTTCTGTCACGTTGTTTCCCAGTTTTCCTAGCATGTTTGATCAAATAGTGACTTCTTTCCTAAATATTTTGTTTGTTGGTTTATTGATCACTAGATTATTAAGTCACATTGTTTCTGATTTTCCCTTGCCTAATCTGTTCTATTGATTTACCTGTTTTTTAACCAGTACCAGATGATTTTGATGACTGTTGCTTATAATAGTTTAAGGTCTGGAAGTACTATTCCTCCCTTATTCTTACCTCTTTTCATTATTCCCAGGAGGTATTAATCTCAAAATGAGATTACAGTGTTTGAGAACAGAGATTTTTTTTTGTCTTCAACATAAGAAACAAATAACATCTTTCATTTTCTATTTAGGTTATAAGAGTAAAACTAAGAGCAAGTGGCCGACTCATAAACAGAAAATATCTGAAGTGGAATCCCTGAGGGTGACATCAGAAATATCCCAAGGATGCATAACCCAGGGATTGGATTTTGAAAAAGACTGTGAATGTGAAGGTACCTTAGAAAAGCATCATAGAAATGCCACAGGGGAGAGACTGAATGGTTCTGATTCGCAGGAGCAAGATTTCATGCAAGGGACAGTCACTCACAGCATTATCCCCCCAGTCAAGAGAGATTTGGAGGAAAGAAGCTGTAGTTCAGGCTCAACACTTGTTATACATCAAAGAGAAAGACTTCATAGATGCAATACGTGTGGTCAAACCTTCAAACAAAATTCAGCCCTTATTCAGCACCAGAGAATTCACAATGGAAGAAAATCCTTTGAATGTCATGAATGTGGAAAAGCCTTCCGGTGGAGCTCACATCTTGTTCAACATCAGAGGATTCACACTGGAGAGAAACCTTATGGATGTAATGAATGTGGGAAAGCCTTCAGGGGGAGCTCAGATCTTATTCAGCATCGGAGAATTCACACTGGAGAGAAACCTTATGAATGCAATGAATGTGGGAAGGCTTTCAGCCAGAGTTCAAAGCTTATTAGACATCAGAGAATTCACAGTGGAGAGAAACCTTACGAATGTAATGAATGTGGGAAATCTTTCAGTCAAATCTCAGTGCTTATTAGGCATCAGAGAATACACACAGGAGAAAATCCCTATGAATGTAATGAGTGTGGGAAAGCTTTCAATCAGAGCTCAGCCCTTACTCAGCACCAGAGAATTCACACTGGTGAGAAGCCCTATGAATGTAATGAATGTAGGAAAACCTTTAGGCATAGGTCAGGCCTTATTCAACACCAGAGAATTCACACCAGAAAGTAACCCTTTGAATGTAGTGAATATAGGAATTTTTGGTGGCAGATTTATACTTTGGTTAATCCCAGAGGAGATATGCTGAGTCCAAACTTAATTAAAGATAAACTTTTTGCCTGCAGCTCCATGTCTGTGTTGAAGAAAAAATATTAATACTATACTCTGCATTTTAGGCACAAGTCTGTCCAAAAAAAATTAAAGTTTAATATATAAGCATTTCTAGTTTACAGAAATGTTCAAACTGACATAGTTTGACAAACTGACATCCCCACCCCTCCCTTGAACATGTTTTCAGATATGTCTCTAACCCAAGAAAATTTGAGATATAATTTATAGGAATCTTGAACAAGGAAAATGTCACAGTATGTTCAAATCTAGATCAGAGGTAATATTCTTGTTTGAAAATGAGCCATTTAATCTTCTATAGGAACTACTCCATTTCTTGCTTTACCACTCCCCCTAAGGACTGAATGGATCTCCCTGTGCATCAATATCATAATCTTTTCTGAATGAAGAAGAGGGTGTTGCCCTTGGCCAGGCCAGTCACTTTCAGGGGATGGGAAAAGCAATGAACTAACTAGTCAAGAAGAATTTCTGTTCCAAACTGGGTTTCTACTCTTATCTGATTTCCTTAGGAAAGGCCTTTTTTGTTCTTGACCTAACCCACATTCCAAGTGGGACAAGTCTGGAAAGTGTTTTTAGGTTACAGAAGTTAGAGAAGTATTTCTTAATATTTTTAGAGAAACTGAAAGGGAAGGGTTTTTTTACATGCTTCTTCATGTATTCCAAAAACAATTTTTATTAACATCCTAAATTCAAGTGTTGTTCTTCCTGGAGAGAAATATCAAAACTAGCAGATTCCTCTCAGTGCCTTCAGGCATCTTTTTAACACGACATTTTGAAGTATCTTGAACAAGGAAAATGTTACAGTTTGATAAAACACAGTTTTGTATTTATAGTGTGTTCCATCTAATAAAACAATAGTCACTTAATCTTTCTGGGAGGCCCTGGACAATATCCCTTCTAAAACTACTCATCCTTTTTGACCACTCAAGAGCTCTTCTCTCAGCTGGTCAGAGGGGATCTTAAGCAATTAAAGGGACTTCTTCCCTCTGATCAATACCCTAATACCTTAGGGGAAGGCAGTAATCTTTTATGAAAAATTTTTTTCATTCTAAGTTTGGTTACCTCCCTTGATCCATTGTTCTTGACCTTTTTATACACTTTCCTAAGAGAGGAGTTAGAACCAAGGGGAAAGATTTTAGTGGAGGGCATTGTTTTCTGAGAAGTTTTAAGCAGTGTATTGACTTCCCTTCCCTCAGGTTAATCTGGAAAAAACTTTAAATTGGAGAAATAATTATTTGATATTTCAGTTAACTAAGAAAGAAGTTTTTAATGTGCTTCTACAGTAACTTTCTTTGTAGTAAGTATTCCATTGCTATGTGCATGTTGGCTCATAGGAAATGTAAGAGATTTGTCTTTGTGTTAACCTAAGAGAACAAGAATTGTAATATGGGGCCAGATCCATAGACCATAATTGTGTTTCTGACTGTAGTACCAAGTGATGCTTCCTGTAAAAGAATGGATTTCCTCTGTGCATTGAATTCACAGGTTAGATATTCTTCATGATCCCCTGTGAGGTTGTAAGGTAGAAACCATAGCGATAGAGATTTCCTCTGAAGGAACTAAAACTGAACTTGAGAGTTGGTAGCTGCTTTCCCATAAAAGGTTTAGAGAAATCTAACCTGCTCTCTGATTTCTTCATGAAAATATCCTTGCTTTCTTTTCACCCTGTGAGGAAGATGAAATCCAAACTCGATGGAGGGAGTTGGGCACCATAAGATATGGCTCTAGTCCCTGTCACTGAGCCCTCCTCAGTTTTTTCTTTGTTCTATCTTTCCTTCTGTAACCGAAAAGAAAAAATACATGAACTATTACCAAATTTAAGGCATTTCTAAGAAGCTCATCAGTTTACTCCTCATTTGTCAACAGTGACCATGAGTAACAATCCTTTTAACAAATCCTTTTGAGGTTAGAGTAGCAGGAAGCCTCTCCATTTTTGCTGTTCAGTTGTTTTTCAATTGTTTCCAATTCTTTGTGACCCTATTTTGGCTTTTATTGGCAAAGATACTGGAATGGTTTGCCATTTCCTTCTCTACCTCATTTTAAGAGACTGAGGCAAGAAAGGTTAAGTGACTTTCCCAGGGTTATACAGCTACTAAGTGTCTGAGGCCAGATTTGAACTCGAGAATATGAGTCTTCCTGGCTCTGGGCCTGGCACTCTACCCCCTGTGCCACTTAGCTGTTCCTCTCTATTTTACCTCAGGACTATGTGATGAATTGGCCTGGTTTATGGGGCAGATGTCTCCCTAGATATGAAGAAGGGTCAGGGATTCTTGCTTTTGAGCTTGTTACAAAATGCTGACTTGTCTGTCTCAGACCAGTCTTGGTCTCAGGCTTCTCAGTATTGATTCTCAATGGTTCAATGGCTATGAAATACCATAGTGTGTGGTTTGTCCTTCGTTCTTGAAGAAGACCATGACATCAGGGAGATAATGCCATGACTTGTAATTGACTTCAGTCTGAGTGAGGGAGGGCTGTGCAAAGACACCAGCCTCACTTTCTCCTCCAGAGTCATCTGGGTCCAGTTGATCAGGACGAGATGGCCCAGGATGCAGTGGGAAACCTTGGCCCTTTTAAGCTAAGATCTTTCCAGGTTCTCACTTTGAGTGAGGCAATGCCCATTCAATGAATAGGCCTCTTTAAGAAGTGAGTCAAGGGGCAGCTGGGTGGCACAGTGGATAGAGCACCAGCCCTGAAGTCAGGAGGACCTGAGTTCAAATCCCATCTCAGACCAACCACTTGACACTTACTAGCTGTGTGACCCTGAGCAAGTAACTTAACCCCAATTGCCTTAAAAAAAAAAAGAAGTGAGTCAAGAGATGGCCCCTTTAATGAAAACTGGGAAGGGAAGACCCCCTCAGGGTTGCTGACCAAAAGAGAAACAGTTAATATTTATATTCACTCTGAGCCAGGAGGGACCAAAAAATAACCATTAAGTGGTGCTTGGGCAGGGACCTATTGTTGTCCAATTCATGAGATACAGAGTAAATTGGGTTTTAGGTTTGGTCTTTGAAAAAGAAATCTAGCCATGTTAACTAGGTAGCTTTCAGACATCAAAATTTACCCTCTTTTGGAGGAGAGGAGAGTACGAGCTGAGCTGCCCAACTGGAACTGGCCAGCTGGGTTGTCATTCAGGCAGCTCAGACTATTCACAAGTTGTGGTTTGTCCTTCCTTCTTGAAGAGGACCATGACATTAGGGAGATGATGACATGGCTTGCAATTTACTTTGATTTGAGTGAGGGAGGGCTGTGCAAAGTAACCAGCCTCACTTTCTCCTCCAGAGTAATCTGGGTCCAGTGGCCTTATATCGATGAGAATGACTGGAGATGGCCCTGTCGGAAATAACCTCTGGTACCCAAATAGGCACAGTAAGTTAGACAGACTCAGGATAAGTGAAGCAGTGAAACCTTTAATACGCCTCCTGTAGGAAGTGGGTGTGGAACTCGAGATGAGCATACATAGACTACAGAAGCAATCCTTATATCCCCATTCCTGGCCACAAGTCTCTCCTAGCTGACTTTCATTGGTAGGAGTCAGCACAGGTCACAGACTTCCTGAAACACCCATCACATGTTCCCCTTGGTATATGCGCAAAGCTTTAACCTTTGTCCTACTTCCAGCCACTTTAATCAAACAACCAGTTTCACCCACTTTTAGCTGATTCTTGAAACTCCTGACCCAGAGCTACTTTTGTCTCATTTTCCATATATAGAAATATAATTGCTTCTTACTTCTCAAGATCAAGAACTTAGGAAAGGGATCTAGGAACCAACAAAAGACTTGTTCCCTGTCTCAGAGAGTTCACACTTAACGGAGGTAGGTAACACAGAAGATGAAAAGCACCAAGCCTGAATACAGTAATAAAATTTAGAAATAGCCATATGAATTTGAATAACAATTATCTTTTCAATATTTGTAACTAAGGCCCAATACCTTAAGTTTTGTGCTAACATGGACTGGATTTGATTTTGGGATACTACCTTCAAATCATGCCTCTTTGGTTTCTTTTGCTCCTAACTAGAGAACTTTGGGAACCTCAAAATTAAGCTCCTATATACAATTCAACTTAGATAAGTAAAAGCATCCCAGCTGCCTTGGCAAGCACTAAAGGCAACAATGCGTATTGGATTTGATACAGCTTTTATTTCATCTTACATGCAAAAAAAATGCAAAGCAAAGCTAGACTTACAGTAGTCTTTTAGTTCTCTTTTCAGTAAATCTCATCTTCTACTCTAGGGACCTACATAAGCCTCTAACCTTATGGTATTATGGATTTGGTGTCCCCCCCAGAAAGAGAAAGGATCTTTCCATTGAAGATGAACCATCTGAATAAATCAATAAAGGATAACTTCCAGGTTTTGTTTTTTACATTGTGGCTTAGTCACTTGCTATACTGCCAATTCTGGGGCCATGTGATAATCCTCAGAAACCCTTTAGTGGAGATCTAGAGTTTCAAAAACACTCAGCACTTGGCCATGTGGTTCCTCTCTCCATGGGTTGCCATCTCTAAGGCTTAATGGGCAGAGATGGTCATTCTATGAGTAGACTGGACAATGCACAGGCTTCACACCATTCCTCAGATAAAAGTCTGCATTTCTGGTATTGACTCTTTCTAGATATCCAAACAGAGCTACATAGGTCAGTCTCTTAAATTTTATAGGTCCGGTATACAATTCAGATCCATACCAGAGTCAGTCAAATTATGATCATAGAGGGACCATCCTCAATGAGAAGTGAATAGGTCATCAAGCATCCAGTCTCAGGAAATATCCTTAGTCTATCAAAGAGGTGTAAATAGGCATGTCCACATCCTTCCTAGCTGTAAGTTCCAAACAAAGGCTCACCTTTATTAGTAATGTGAATAGAAGGATGTCTGCACCTCATCAGATGGACCAGGCATTCCTCAGCAACCCTCAAATACTGATGTGTACGACAGAAGATGGAAGAATGAATGGTATAGCAGAAAGGAACCCTAGACTGGAAGTCAGGAGACCTCAGTTCTGCCACTAAACCATATGACCTTGATTAAGTCATGAGGAAATGGATAAAATTTAGAAGCAGGGAGAGTGGAGGGCAGAACTAAATGTACCTTGTCAAATATAACTCCAGGATGTCATTTCCTTTCAAATCTCCAAGTTCCTAGAATTAAGGAGTAAAAAAAAAGTTGCATCTTGTCTTGAAGTGGGTCTTTGTACTCCCGTTCATGGTGCTAGGTACTTGCAGTGGATTGCTCTATAGAAAGGTCATTGTTTTCCTTAGTAAGAACAATTAATGTTGGGGTGGTAACAAAAGTCAGTTTAAAAGGGTTAAAGGTGTGTGATGTGAGAAGATATAGAAAACCAAATGTAGAAAGCTTTTTCTATTCTGTGGAAGGAAATAGGATCAAGTGAAGGTTTTTTTCAAAGATACCTTTTCCCAGTCCCCATGCTTCTTGATTTCTCTGCAACATTTTACACGTACTATGCTCTTTCTTCCAAATATTCTATCCTCCATGGTTTTTCTGACACTATTCTGTCATGGCTTATTTCCTACGTGTCAGACTGATCCTTCTCAGTCTCCAAAGCAGCATCATCATCTATGCATAGGTATGCCCTAAAGGTCCATCCTTGACATTTTTTCTTTCTATACACTCTCTTGATGATTCTATGGATTCAGCTATCCTCATTCTATGTAGATGATACAATCTATATATCTCGTTCTGATCCCTCTCTTGAGCTTTAGTCGTCTCCACCTGGATGTTCCATAGGCATCTCAAACGCAAATATATCCATAACAGAAGTTATCTTTCTCTCTAAAACCATCCTTCCTAACTTTCCTATTTTTTTCAAAAGCACAGCATTCTTCTAGTCACCCAGTCTCACAAGCTAGTAGTCACCCTCAAATCTTCATTCTCCCTCAATACCCAGATCCAATCAATCTGGTTGTTTATACCTCCTTGACATCACTCTCACCTGCCTTTTTTCTCCATTACACTCTAACAACTCTAGTCTAGTCAGTCAGAAGTCTACAAGCATTTATTAAATGCCTTGTGTGTGCTAGGCTAGACTTTCATTACCTCCCACCTGATCAGTTACAATAGATGTCTTAATTGATTTCCCTGAATCCAGTTTCTCCCCTCTACAATCCATCCTTCACATAGCTTCCAAATTGATATTGCTAACGTGCAGGTCTATCCATGCAACTCTTCAAGAAGTTTCAGTAGCTTCCCTTTGCCTTTTAATACAAAATCTTCTGTTTGGCATTTAAAGCCCTTCACATAAACTAGTTCCAGTCTTTGTTTTTCAGAATGATTATACATCACTTCATGCACTGTAGCCCAGCCGAATGGTCCTTACAACAGTAATACCACACGTGGTATTCCATTTCTTATCTCTGTGCCTTTGTCCAAGCTATCATGCCTGAAATAGTTTCTCACCTCCATCTCTTGGAACCTCAAGATCCCTTCAAAGCCCATATTAAGTGCTGTTAGTTTTCCCCAGATCAAAGTGTATTTCTTTTGTGTATAGCGCCTCCATGTGCAACTTGTACTGTACTCCCTAGGTTAACAGGACTTACTCTGTGGATCCATATTCCAAAAAACTTTGGCTCCAAAACCACCACCTTGTGTCTTTCTTTCTCAGAGCCCAGCAAGGTGCCTGTGCCTTTGCATCATCACATAGCTCAAAGCAAAGGAGTAAAAAGGAACATCCTAAGAATAATAGTAACAACATGTCTTTCTCATTAATCTGTGATACACTATTCTATAAATACATAGTCAGTGGGAAGAACAGGCACAGAAAACTGGAGCCTACACTATAGCAGGTGAGAGATGAAATGACTGAGGAAACAAAGGTTCAAGCTTCCAAGCATTTTGATTTATTAAGCAATGCATGCCAATTGTCTAACAAATCCGAACCAGTCTCCTTCCTCAGCTGAGGGTTGG